CAGTGCTGTCAACAGGCTGGATAGGATTAGCATATGATCTACCCACTGATGCTGAAGAACTTGCTGAAGAGAGAGACTGAATAGGAGAGAAGGACAAGTATGAAATGATACAGTATGCCTCTCACTTCTTGTAAGAATTTATCAAATTCTGGATCAGACTCAGTGTCAGTCATCTTGTTGCTATGTAATTTTTATTGGGGTGTGGTGTGTTTTTTAATTGTGATTTTAATAGCGGAAATTAGATCTAAAATTTAATTATCGACTTATCGTGCCTAATTTTGGTTTTGGATCGAAAATGGCAAGTCGTCCAAGGGCTCTGTAAGCTCTAATACCACTTTTCTTATTTTTATCTTTTATATTTTTTCTCCTAAGTAGACCACAACCGTTCACTTCACCCACTCCAGCAACAGAACCTAACCAGCCTCTCAATGATCTAAATATGGTAGTAGGACGACCCATGGGATTGGGAATCTCGTCGGCTAGTTTGCCAGTAGAACCATCTATGGAGCTTGAGCCACTAGTGTCTCCATCTCAAAACTCTCCTACCCCGAAAGGTATTTTTATAGTATATAGCACTGAATGAAAATGTGAATCATTTCTTGTAATTATCTAGGATATGATTTTAACTTGGGTTCCTTGAAAGAAATTATCAGAAATCAAAAGTTAACAGCAAAAGTAAAACCAGCACTGATATCATTTCTCGGAATACCGCCTGACAGTGGCCAGACCAAGGCAGTAAATCATATTCTTGATCGCTACATAAACAAAGTCAAGCCTCCATTTGCATCAACTCCTGGTCGAGTAGGGGGAAATGTGACAAAAGCTGAAGGCATTGAGTACCACGAATTGGTAGCAACCGGTTTTAAGTCTGTAAGGAGCCTTTACATTGGTGAAGTAACAGAAGAGTCAAGCTCTGCTTTTGGTATTCTTTCTGCTTTCAGACAAGGCCTTATAGAAGAAAAGAAATTACCACTTTTTGATATATCCGTTTCTCAATCCTCACAAGAATTTGAAAACAAACAACTAAATGAGCATCTCATCCATACTTATCAGTATCTATCTGATCAAGAGTCAATACCTAAAAAAGGTACAGAGTCTCTTGAAGATGTAGAAGAGCTTAGCGAAAAGGATCAAGAATACGCAAAGAAACTCAAGCGACTTCTTCCAGAAGGAATAGCTCTTGTTATCATGTGGGATGTTGCTCTAAATAAGACTGTTCTCCATTTTCTAACAGCTCTTCGTGGTCACCTTTACAACTGCCATCCCTGGCTGTTCCTTGACCTTCAGCGAGATCTTGACAAGCTTCATTTACCACCGAAAATACCACGTCCAACTTCGTCTACTGGAGATGGGAAGCAGATAAGAGATGGTGCACTTCTCATGAAGTGGAGACCACGCCTTCATTATTTAATTCGTTCTTGCCGATTAGGAGAGACTAAAGAAAAGAAGAGGAGAAGAGTTTGTACTGTCTTTGCTAAGCATGATGGCACCTTCAATGGGAAAATGGAAGAGAAAATGGATGAACTTGAGAAAAAAGTACAAGCAACGGCAAGACACATTGATGTGTCATCATTGCTTGAAGAGAAAA